CCTGAAGAGTGCTGAAGGCCAGAAACTTATGTAACTATATATTTAATGTATATATTATATTATATTATATTATGTTATATTATATTATATATATATATATATTCTATATATAGTGTATTTGTATGCACGCAGCAGCACTCTCTTAAGTACATAAGCCTCACGCGATGTCCCAAAGTCCAGCACAACCTGAGACATTGACGTCGCAAGGCCCATTGTGGTCATCACCAGGGATGGAACCAGCATGAATAGATGGAACATCTTTGATTTGTAAACATTGTTTAATTGACTTTGAGAACTTCACATGCTGCTGAAAGTCTGTATTATATATATATATATTAATATGTATATATTAATATGTATATATTAATATATATATATATATATAAGTTATATATAAGTTATATATATATATAAGTTATATATAAGTTATATAAAAGTTATATAACTTATTATATATATTAATATATATAAGTTATATATATATATTAATATATATATATATATATTAATATATATATATATATATTAATATATTAATATATATATATATTAATATATATATATATGTTATATATGGGAAATACATTCCAAATATTCCAAGCCCCTTGGTACCAGCCAAGCGAAGCGGCACACGAAGCGACTGATACGTTATTCCCCGGGCCTCGGCTGGCCACGATCAGGCGACCCTACCACTGGAAGCGACTGATCTTGGCTGCTAAGCTCCTACCGGCGACGTGTCGGGGGCGAGGCCTGAGGGACCAAAAATTCAAATCCAACTTATTTGTCATTCAAAATCCCCAATAGCTGGATGGTGTATGAATGGAAAATCCTATGATTTTTTGTGAAAATGGATGATTTTGGGGTCACACATTTCAAGAACCCCCCTTGAAATTCAGGTGTCTGGCGAAGCCTGAGAAGCTTAAGACATGCAGTTGTAGGGTCGATCACTTTGAGCCACAGGGATTTGATTTTTTTTGTTCAATCTTTGCCAGTGATGGTGGCTTTGCATGTTGCTCCCAAAGACACAAGCCACAAGAAAAATCAACTACTTATTGCTACTTATTCAAAAGATGAGATGTTGCATCTCACTTTCTTGTGGCAAAAAATGATTCTACAAGAACCAGAGAACAATAAGGGCGCTCCTGGTAGACAGAGTCAGACCAAAACCTGGCTTCAGCGGCTGTACGCTGTTAGACTCTATTGCCACTTGCCGAAATATATATCACAGTGCAAATCCATGATACCATACCATACAATATAATATAGTATAATAAAACATATTATGACATATAATGTAATATATAATATAATACACGATATAATAAAATATAATTAGTATACAATATATAATATATAATAAATAATATATAATATATTTTAATATATAATATACAATATATAATATATAATGTAAAATATATAATATATAATATATAGAATATAATATATAATAATATATATATATAGTATATAATATATATATAGTATATAATATATAATATATAATATATATTTTATAAGAATATATATAATAAAATATAATACAATATAATACAATATAATATAATATAAAAAATATATATAATATATAATAAATATAATACATATAATATGTAATATGTAATAGTATATCTAATATATAATATATAATATATAATATATAATAAATAATAAATAATATATAAGATATAATATACAATTTATAATATACAATATATAATATATAATAAAATATCATACTATATTAATATAATATAATATTATTTTATATTATATAATAAACTAAAATAAAATATAGTATAACATAATATAATATTTAATTTGATATAATATAATATAATATAATATATAATATATATATAATATATAATATGATAAAATATAAATTTTATAAAAAAAAGTATTTAATATATATTATATAATATATAGTAAATTATAAATATAATAATGTAATATATAATACATAATATATAATATATAATATTTATAATATATAACATAATATAAAATATAATACATAATATAATACATATAATATAATATTAATATATGCCATATATTATATTATATTAGATTATATTATATTGTATTATATTATAGACAAGATATAATAGAATATAAAATATAATACGTAATATAATAAAAGATATGATATATAATATAATATAATATAATGTAATATAATATATAATATAATATAATATATAATAAAATATAATATATAACAAAATATAATATATGATAAAAAAACATATAGTAAAATATAATATATAATAAAATATAATATATAATAAAATATGATATATAATAAAACATAATATATAATAAAATATAATATATAACATACAATATAATATATAATATAAAATACTATAATACATAATATAATTTGACAAATATTATATCATATTATATTATATTATGTGATATTATATTAGATTATATTATATATAAGATATAATATAATATAAAATATAATACGTAATATAGTAAAAAATAAATTATATATAATATATAATATATATATAACCTATAACATAAAATGTAATATAAAATATAATATAATATAATTTAATTTAATTTAATATAATATAATGCATAATATAATATAATATATAATATATAATAAACTATAATATAATATATATTATAATATAATATATAATATAATATATAATTATAACAATAAAATATAATATATAACTAAAAAAATGTAATATAATATATGATATAACATATAACATATATATATAAGTATATCGCTATACGCAAATACAAATATTTATAGAACTTCTGCAAGTGATGGCAACTTCCAAGTTGTAAAAGAGAAGCTTTGGCTCGCAAGTCCCAGCCAGAATTGCGCTTCACAGGCCTTTTCAAAGGCGAAAAATGAAACATAGTGCAGACATATGCAGACATGTGCAGACATGGTGAAGAGGTGGTTTGGGTTGGCTAAACATTTTGAGAATTCACCCTTTTTAAAAAGGGGAATAATTACTATATATATATATAGCTCGCAGGATTTCAAAACCCAAACTGCGCAACGAACACCAAAACGGTTCAGGAAATGAGCTGATCTCTTCTGGGGAATTGCACGGAATCTTCCAAGGAACTCATGCAGTGGTATGACTTCACTACACAGATAGGCAATAATACAGAAAATACTGCACAGTTGTTGACTCAGAAACGATCTCACTGCATTGATAGGTATGTAATATTTGCTTCCCAACGAAGAATCAAACAAAAGCATGAAGCACCCCTACAAAAGTTCTTGCTCAATGACCATTCTGATCATGCAGCTTCTGCGAAATTCAATATCGAATTATACTCTATGCTATCCCATGATAATATGATATGTGTATCTACTGCATAGAATTTATACGGACACATATCATTACAGTTATATGACCTAAATTTGTATCTTTTTTCAAATAGGGTGTTCCAAAATCCATCAAAATCCATTCATCATCGTCTTCCCGATGAAACTTGCAATTTTGGGGACCCTGCGGACCCTGAAGCGGTTACCTCACTTTCGACGTCGGCCCTGGTTTGAGGACCTGGCTGGTCTGGCACAGAGCTGAAGAAATCTGAAGAAAGCGGAAGAAAAATCGATATCACTGGCAATACTGGCTACCTCTGTAAATGCCTCTAGAAATCTTCTGTTTTTTCTTCTATATGTGATTTCCCTGGTTTTCCAGAAGTCAATGTCAGAGATCTTCCGAAATGGGGATGGCAAATGAAACATGTACCACCCCAGCTTCCCTGTTAAGCTTTCTACCTACTGGCAAAGCTTCTTCACTTTCATCGGCCGCAGAAAAGCTAAGCGTAGCATTGTCCTGCAGGGGGATGACAAACGTACATTGGTGGTTCAAATGGCCAAATGTGTTTCATCTACAACATGATATGTCTATGTTGTGTAATATTCTCTCTCTCTATACATAAATATATATATATATATGATTCATATGTATGTATATCGTATATATATATATATATTACATATTTACAGGAATTTCAAACTGGAAGAAGCAGCATTTGGAGACACACAGGCCTGCAAATATAGAAAAACGACATCAGATTGCATCATGTCCAACAATTGTCCAACGTTCATGGCAAGTGAATTTCATGCTCTTGTTTTTTTGCAACTCCAACTAGACATCATTGGTGCCAGTCGCCTCCAATACATCTGCAGCTTGATCGCTTCAATGTGTGTTTTCCGGGGTCTGCCGGTACGGACTGGTCTTAAGGGAAAATCCACGGATGAATCGGATGACACTTCTTTTGGTGTCTTTATGGTGCCATGTCACCATAGAAAACTTGGGGCTTTCCTGCAGATGTTCCCAACAAAAAATCCCAATCCAATGATGATTCTTCAGGCATTTTTTAACGGCGCTATGTGCAGTTGTGGAGCCACGTGTCAAACGGATTTTCCCAACGGCAGGACTACTTGATGCCAGAAATATGAGTGACTTGAGAAGTTCGCGGGAAACCATTGCATTCCCTCCTCTTATGAAAATGTCAATATTAATAGATACTAATAGTATCTCATGTTAAAAGAACATCTAGTTCAAATCAAAGCTATCATGAAGTCCACCAATATGTTTTCTCTCGCTTCCACATTTTACTCATGATATTTTTTCTGTCTAGGGGTCCTAAGTCGACCATCTGACCACCTGCCCATGCGGATGCAGCCTCCACGTCCTTGGTGGAAGGCGTTCCGGAACGGAGTGTTGGGACGGAAAGTCGTGGAAAACACTGTGCTAATTTCCACATCACCATTATCATTCAATGATATTCAATATATGTACTGTATGAAAAAGAAAAAGGTCCTATCATACTATATGTATGTATTTATATATATATATATATATGTATATATACAATTATATATACATCTTCATATACTTCTCAAGTATGCTCGTACCTTTGAGAAAAACCTGTAGACCTGTCAATGGCTACGATTCGTGGCCAATATGGGGGCACCATTGGCACCGCCAAATTCACTGGGCAATCCCAACAGCATCCACCCAGATGAGGGCACCAAAAGGTACTCGATTTTCATCTGCGAGACTCCAAACAGAGAAGGCCTCAAACGTGTGTAGTACCCATAGGATCCATGTATGGTATATATGCTAACATTTGGGGTATATTGATGCTAAATGTCACCATATATAGCATACATGGATCCTATGGGGTACTTGATTCACGAAAATGCACTTCGGCAACGCGAAGTCAGTCAGGTACAGTAGTTCTATTGCAGAACAAGCTCGATGTCCCTTGGAGAATCCAGAATGGTAGACATGGCTGGTGCATGAACAAGTCTAATTATCATTATCATTATTAATCATCATTAATAGATAGATTATGTTAAGATATGTTAAGTATATGATTATAATTAATAATTATCATTAACAAGTATAAAAACAATGTTTACCATTGGCCTCTTATTTTGCAGATCGGAGTTCATGGCTGCAAGATGCTGCAGATCGCCTTGCCACTCGTTGGTGCTTGTAGTTGCAAAGAAAGAGGTACCGTGCTGCCTGGTGGCACCTGTCCGACACCGCGGCTGAGTGTGAAAACAAATGCGAAAAAAAACAAAACGCTACGCTGCTACGTACTTGTACATGTAACATAATAATATGATACAATATATATCAATATATGATATATGATTATGTGTCCTGGGAATATTTTGAAATCCGAAAACTCCTCTACGATCCTCTAAGCGAAAGAACGACGACTGGTTGCAAACCTGTGTAGTCATTTGGGCGAAAACATGTTTTGCCATAAATTTTGCCAAGTTGTTTCCGAAACAAAGTTAAAGTACCCTCTGGTAATTTAACATAGCTATTGAAAATGGCAATAGAAATACAATTTACCCATTAAAAATGGTGATTTTCCACAGTTATGTAAACGTTTACCAGAGGGTATTGGTGCTTCTTGCGAATCCATCACGTCACATCAAGCAACATGTTGCAACCACCATTGATGTCGGTTTGTCTGATGGCCGTTTTGGGGTACAAAAAATGGATCAATGTGGAGCGTTTTTCGAAACGGCTTTCGACAATGATGTCATCTTTTTAAATTTGTTTCTATGTCGAAAGATCTATCTGGGTAAATTACAATAATGATGACAATAATTACAATAATTCTGGAGGTCATTTATTTTTACATGTTTCTATGTCATCTATCTGGGTAAATTATAATAGTTCACCTGAATTACGGCCTCACATGGGGATGATTTCCCTTATAAAAACATATAAAATCCCATTAAAAACCAGGCTTCGGGAGAACAGGCTTCGGTCGTGATTCGAAATGGCAAAACCCGGACCTCCTGTAGTCGGAGTCCTGCGGGTCCAGCCATGGGGTCACCATCGCGCAAGGACAGCACCTGAGGCGATCGCAGATGATCGCAGATGATGGCAGTGCCGATGTCAGGAGATGTCAGACTTCCACAAGATGGGGCCCCCAAGATAGCTAAGTTGCCTTATAAGTGGCTTTATGGTAGATATAACTATAGTTAATAGGGGTTATAATGGTTTATAAACCCACTTATAACTGGGGGGCCCCATCCTCCAGAAAGCCATGGGTTTTATATCGGGGTTACATTTAAAAAAACGTTTAAACTATGCACAGCTTCACCAGTTCTAGAGTGGAAATTGCCACGGGGATGGTTTTATGATGAAATTTCTGGTTCATCTGAAGAGCAATGGTAAACAAGATATGAAACTTAAGCTATGAAACTGTGCATACTACAGTTTCCAACATTCAACAGTCTTCAATGTGATGTTCACGCCCTGCACGTGGCAAAACACTGCCATCTGTTGAAGCATATTTTAGATCATGTCAGCAAATCCCATATGATCCATGGTGCTGCTATATATGATAACATGGATCCCATCAAGATACCTCCTTTATGTTAGCATTAATATACCAGCACCATGGATCGTATGGGAATGTGAAGTGGTGGATTCAAACGGAAGTGTAGCTGCGTAAAATCATGGCATCTTCCTGCCATCTTCCCCGAGTCCCCCAACCGTCTGCGCAGGCCACGGCCTGGAACCTGTGTTGCCTCCGAGCAGAAAGGAGGTCTGAAGTCATCTTGCCGAAACACCATGGATATTCGGCCTGAGATAAAATGCTGGTAAACATACAAAAAACTATGGAACATCACCATGTTTCATGGGAAAATCCACTATTTCTATTGGCATTTTCAAGTTCGCAAACTGTGAATGTCATTACCAGAGGGTAAAATGCCATGAAAATTCGATGGTTGGGATCTATCTAGTTGATCCTTCCATTTGAAAAATCAGGAGCTGACCCACAGTTTTGGGTGGGACGTCAGGCCTATCACGATGTGAATTTCAAAGACCTCCCCCGGCTGACGTTTTTGGAACCTGGATGACGGATGATGGTCCCAGAGCGGAAGACACTTGACGAATCTTGACAAATAACGTCTGGTTGGTTGTTTTATATATGGTTATTATATGGTTATTATATGGTTATTATATGGTTATTATATGGTTATTGTATGGTTATTATATGGTTATTATATGGATATTATATGGTTAATATGGTTATTATATGGTTATTATGTTGGTTATTATATGGTTAATGATGGTTAATAATAATATCTGGTTGGTGGTGCAATAACCATCTTGAAACATGATGGACTTCGTCAATGGGAAGGATTACATCCCATATATGAAATGGAAAAATAAAAGCCATGTTTGAAACCACCAACCAGACGTGTATGCTTAAGACTGTGCAATGTGAAACTTACTGTGTTTATGATGATTATATTGATTATGATGTGGGAAAGCTGTCTGTGTGTGTGTGTTCAAAATTGCCTGGGCCTAATCCCAATCCCTGGCAATGTGCGTGTATTTACAGTAGGTTTTCACTTGACACATGCGATCCATGGAACGGGTTGCATTTCCCAAAGGCAGAAAGGGAGAGGACAAGAAGAAATAGCCAGTGCAAGAGAAGAGAGAGAGAGAGAGGGGCGTAGAGGGAGGGAGACAGAGGTAGAGAGCAGACAGAGAGAGGGGGAGATATGACGGAGAGATAGAGATGTGTAGTACGGGGACATGTGTAGATGTGATACGTGCGGATGTGAAGTGTGTAGGTGTAAGATATGTGTGTGTGTGTGTCACATGTCTAGACATGATGTAGCTAGATGTGAATTGTGAGATTTGCAGGTCTGAGAGTTGTAGATATACTATGATGCCCCTTTTCTCAGTTTTTGTTACATGTACAGCTGTGAGATATGTTCTGCAAACACCTTTAAACACAATTGGGCAGTCTTTAAAATCCTCAGCCCTCTATACTGGGTGCTTAGTACTGCAGGATTTCCCTGGATTCTGATCTGATAGGTAGCTATACGGTCCTTTGAATCTTGGATGTGCGTCAAAAAAAATATGATCTATTGTGGATTCGGCCAAAAACCAAAAGTTATAAATATCAAATAAAAATTGGTCTAGTGCCATTACCTAGGGTTTTTCTCTAGTTGAAGCCCGGATTTGTGGGTCTACCAGGATATATCTAGTGCCATTACCTAGATGCACCTAGTGCAGCCCGGATGGTTCTTCCCGACTTGGAAGCGAGCTCTTTGTCTGGTGGCACCTTGGATCAAAGGTGCACCAAGTCGCATCAACATATGGCGAATGGTTTATATAATATATTAGTAAAAATCGTAGTATACCTATATGTACATTGATTTTGATTAATAATGTGTATATATATATATACATATATATACATATATATATATATAATTATATATATATTATAGTGAAATTGTATTATATAATTAAATGAACCGTAGAATGATACACTGGCCACGACAATGGGGCTCCCCACACCGCACAGCAGCTCCGGCGTTGAACCAGACTCCTTGCTTCAACACGTACGTTGAAAGTACTCAGATGGAGAAGATGTTTCAAAAATACAGATATCAGTGATATCAGCGTCTTGAAAGCCAGCATGAAAACATATGAAAACCATATTCATCCATATTCCAATACTCACACATAGACAATCTCACATATCATATTCCACTGAAGGATAAAAGACTTTTCTTTACGCCGTCCCAGCGGCTGCTGGTCGAACAAACCAAGGATACTGAGACCTCAGGGATGCTCGGCGATGTGACGGGAAGCTGGCAACGACTCAACGCGATAGCTCGCATCCCCGACTCTCCACATCTGCTCGGATCCAACCTTAGGTCGAAGATTCTGGAACTGGTGCAACATGTTTTTGTCAAAATGCTTTGAAATTGTCATTGAAGGGGGGTAAACCATATGGTAAACCTTATTTTCAGACACCCCCATGCCCCCTGTTGGTCAAACGGTCAATGGCAATTGCTTTCACTGTTCTATTTACAGCGTGCGTACTGCACGATCTCCTGAAATCTTAGTGGCCGTCGTTCATCCCCGTTGATCTTCAGGTGTCTCTAGCAAAACATAAAAATGTCTCTAGCAGAACACACAATGAGGTTTGCAAAAAAAAACATGCATACTCTTGTGATACCAGGATCTCAACATGTATGCAAATGATCACCCGAGTAAATGTTGCCTGTAAGCAACTTGAATCAAGAAACACTTTGTTTGCAGGTAGTGTCCTTAACGACGTGTCGATGTAGCAAATGCGACAGTGGACAAGAAGAACAATGAATAAAGAAAATATAAGACAGTATATGAAAATATAAGAAAATAGAGCGTCATTATATATATCAACCACCATCACTGCAGCACGACCATCTGTATAAAAATTGCCAGTAAGAAACACCAGAAAACGAAACTGAAGCAGTGGGTAGCAATGAATAGGAGGAAGGCGAAGAAAGAGTTCAAAAGAACGACCTCGAAAGTAAATGTTCAGTCGCGAAGGCAAGACTTTTGATTTTTTTAAATTTCTCTGATTCTTAGAATATTCTATATGGTTCTATTGTCTGTCAACTTTTGTAGACATCCTGCCAGCAACATGTCAAGCTGGAACCCAAACAACCAGAAAAATCCATGGTGGCTGACCCAGTTTCAACCATTTGTTATGCAGGGATTCTCCACCTAGGGAAACGACCATGACTATGACTATGTTTGGTTTTTCATGGTTTTTTGTTTTCCAATGTCAAAAGCTGATACCGAAGACGGCCGAACACTGGCCGAAGCTCTGGGTGTCAAACACACCAATATCTTCCCCAGAAATCCACAGCGCACCTAACATCACAGTGGATCAGATCAGATGACCGGCTCATCTAAGTGGCAGTTCAGAGTGCCGACTTTTCGGGCAACTGCGCCTCCAGTTGAACCGTAACGCTTAATGCTCTCCACCCAACAAGTGAAATCTCAGTGGAATACGTTGGATTGACTGATCGATCCAAGAACGCGTCACATCCAACTGCTGTGTTTCGCAGAAATGGTTGCAGTACATGAAATCTGGGTAAATTATAATATTTCACTAACCTGAATTAAGGCCATTTGGGGATGATTTCCCTTACTAACCATGATTTCCAGTGAGGTCAAGATTGCGATCAAAAAACACACTTGTCACTTGCTGCACCTGTGTTGAGACCGCTGTCAAGCTGCTGCTGATCCATCCTTACGTGACGTACCCGAAATGGGAAACATACAAAAAACGATGGAAAATCACCATGTTTAATGGGTAAATCCATTATTTCGACTGGGCCATGGCTTCAATAGCGAACTGTCAACGTTTACCAGGCCGGGTATCATGATTCACGAGTTTTCGCATTGTCAAATTCTTCAGCTTTAGCAGCTAAGGCAAGGTCCATGCACGCAGTTCGGCGAGCAAAGGTGGTGTTCTCAATGAACCATAGGTGCCTGGAAGAGCTGAGCCAACACGATTGCTTTCAGTTTTTTTCACATGCGTAGTATATGCCGTTATATTACATGCATATATTAAATTGATCATTAAATCATATTATATATACATACCATAATATATAATTATATATATAATATAGACATATGAATTATGTACAATCATTAAATCATATATTAGTAATATATACAGTAATACACATGTTATCTTACATAGATCATTCACCCGTGCCGGCTTGACTGCGCTTGACCCAGCCACGACCCAGCCTAGCAGGGAGCCTCCACGTACGAACTTGGCCATAAAAATCTTGGATTCGTCGGCGGTCTCCGTTTTGCAAGACCTAGGACACAGCACGGCCGGGGGCACGGGACTTGGACATTTTGAAAATGGGGACACCATTGCAAAAGATCATTTTTCATGGGGAAGGTATGGTAAAATTATGATGACTGTAGGATATATAATTGAATGTATATGATGAATCATGATGATATATGTATATATATGTATATATACATATGATGATTCTTGGTGATGATAATCCATGATTATTTTCGGGCTACCCTGTTTTCAGACCATGGACTGGATGACTTGGATTCCACTTGGCACCCTGCGCATGCATGGAGCGCAGGTTCACCTGCAAGTTCATGGGGCTGGGTTGACAATGACGTATTCATACGTGAAGTAGGTGTGTCTGAAAAGGTTTTTCCCTAAAAAAAAGTCGTTTGAATGAGAAAATGATGATGATGATGATGATGATGATGATGATGATTGACCGCGGGATTCCGGGGCTTTCCCAACATGTTCAGACAAACCCTAAATTGCAGCTATCCTGCCTAGAAGCCAGGGTTCCCAGTGCAGTGGGAAATGCTGCCACCACTGGATGTTGGCTAAACCCAACGGTTTTCAGTGAAAATATCTTGAGTCCGCTCTCTGAAAATCACCGACTAAACCATGGTTTCTAGGAGGTGTAAATATAGGGTTTAGGGATTATCCCTATTATCAATATAGATGGATGTGTTTCTATTCTCCATATCTCATTATCCATGATTATCCATATATCATGATCCATCATTAGAACCATATATAGATGGACAGTAGAACCTAGTAGAACCTATATGGTTATCCTCTCCCGCCTGTCCATGCTCGTGCAAATGATAGTACAAGAGCGCATCGCCTTGACCTGGACATCAAAGCACCGCGCGAGACATAGCGACAGATGAAAGGAATAGATTTCGTAGATTCACAGAGGTCGATGCAACATATTTCGGATGTAGAAAACACTGATATTATAATATTATATATATAATATAATATAAAATTATAATATAATATATATATATATTATAATACACACTCACTGACTCAACGATTTTTTGATAACGTTCCACGCAGAACAAATGTATTTCTGGCTGTCAAGCTTCACACGAAGTCGCAACGGGGCCTGGAATCAGCTGGCACAGCTTCAGAATTTGTTTCAGAAACATGTCTGAAACAAATCTGAAATGAGAAACTCTACTTCATTATCACCTATTGTCACCTATTATCAGATTATTATCACCTATTATCACCTATTATCACCTATTATCACTAGTGCTTGGGAGACTCTCCAAGTAGCTCCGGCTTCGCCGCTCCGCCTCCTGACAGACCTCCTCGAAAGCCTGGTCCAAGTATCCTGAGATTTCTGAGCGTCTGTGAAAATATGTTAAGCATTGAGCATTGTTACCCTCTGGTAATTTAACATAGCTATGGAAAATCACCATTTCTAATGGGAAAATCCACTATAAATGGTCATTTTCAATAGCTATGTTAGTTTACCAGAGGGTAAGCTGTATTGGTATGACTCTCCAACAGGGTTTTTGAACATTCTGACTGCGACAAGTGATAGCAGTCTGATAGCAGTGAAATGCAGTGAATAGTGTGTGTTTTCAGCCTGTGGGTACCCAAAGACTTATCGGACCTCTTTCCAAATAGCTACGACAGCTACGAGTCAAGGGTAGAAAATCACCTTTGAGGGTACCTTGAAACTTAGGACGTGAGCGCGTCTCCTATATGCCACAAGGGGTGTGCATGGCTGTGCCTTGTTATGGTTTCAGGATGTTTCAAGCTATGGGGGATCACCTTCATCGGCCTCACCAGTCCTGTTCAACTCCCAGGTCTCGAGTAGATCTTCGGAAGTTCTTTTTTCACATGTTTTTTCGCATTTTGGGCAGGAAAAAAAATGGAGAAAAAAGCCATGAACGGATGCATCTGGGGGAAATCGACGCTTTGAAAAATCCATCTCCATCTCGATCCTTCAGATTTTCCAAGAAATCCCTTGAATCAACGGAGATCACGAACAGTTTGCGAACTGGAAAATCACCATCTAAGTGATAGGTAAATCAACGCACTAAATGTGCCATGTTCAAAAAAAAAAATGTGGCCATTTCCAAGATGGTACACTAGATTTACTGTTAAATCATCTATTTAATGATTTCTATGGCCATTTCCAAGAGCAAACTCTTAAATTACCAGAGGGATCCAGAGCCATGATAAAAATAGCAGGGATTTGAAATCATTTGAAGCTTATTGCAAAAGCATATTAAATCGCATTAAATCCCATTAAATCCCATTAAATCCTATTAAAGCCCATTAAATCTGGGGAAATGTTCACCCTTTCGCCTTTCGCAAAACGCTTGGAGACGCGCCGGGATGCCCGGCTGAGACTTTTGAAACTCCGACCCTTGCCATTGCCGCGCCAGGGCAGCGAATTGGCCTGATTTCGTCAGTCATCCAGGTTGAAAAATCGAGAAATCAAGGAGATTTATGGTGATGTCATGGGGGTTAGAGGGCTTTGGGTTTAGTATATTTAGTCATTCAAAGAATTCTGCAAGTACTGTGATCTAAAATGATCAAATATGATCTAATATGATCCGATCTGATCATCCATGATATTCCAGGATGGTGTAATGATTTCAAGTGGAATGCATGGAATGCCTGGAATGCCACAAACACCCCGAAAAAAAGGAACGAGACAACAGCAGACAAAAAAAAAACATGAAACGGAAAACTGCAAAGCAAGCAACATGGAAATCACAAGAACACAAGAAAATGCGAAACAAAGCAAAAGGCAATGAAATTATAAGGACTTTTTGGTAAAAAATAAACAATTGCTTTAATTTAATTGTATATTCTTTGGAAGGAACATCGGACAGGCTGTTTTGGGTCACTTAAATCCAGGACGAATCGTCGTTTTTTCCCATTCCAGATTGATCAAAACTCATGTAAGATGTGATACATGCCTCCTAGGTAGATCCAAAATACAGCAGTTGTTGAACCCAGAATGAAACAAGCATGAACCAGGGATAACCAGGGATTCTGGCTGCTGCTCGGGGAATGGATCATTTTCGTCATTTTCTTGTGCTGTTTTGGAGCTTGATATCCTTTGATTACAGCAACTAGCAGCAATATGGGACGATTTTTCGTGCACCTCCAGGTTCAATCTCTGGAGAAGTTCAGTATCCTGCCAAGCTTTCGAAAATTCAATGGGCTACTGTATGATTGGCACATGTGTTTCAAGATGTTTCAAGTCCTCTGACGAACGACATATTCTGGCAACAGAAATGTCAACATTGCTCTTGACTAGAGCCAACGACAGAGACTCTTGGAACTAAAGATTGAAACCAATGTGGCTTACTGGGAAGGCTCCTGACACTCCTGACTCGTTTTTACACGTCTTTTCCGAACAAGAAGACTAAGAAGACCTTCGAAAATCTTCAGAGGTGCTTTACAATTCCAAGAAGACCTTCAAAAATCTTAGAACAAATCAGGTCTTTCGGCCCTTTCAAACGGGAGGCTTTTTCGATCTTTTTCCGTTAACGGCTGGACCGTTCCGACTCGTCTCCTGGGACAGTGCATGCCCATATGACCTGAGAGTGAAGTTCCCCCAACTCCAGGTCTGACCATGGGAGAATCATCTGACAGTAGCCTCTGGTTGTTGAACGTAGCTATGGAAGCCATGGCCCATAGAAATAGATGATAAAAATGATGGTTGACCTATGAACAATTGTGATGTTCATTGATTTTCCATAGCTACGTTAAATAGGGAGAGGGTACCCTCTGGTAATTTAACATAGCTATGGAAAATCACCATTTCTAACGGGAAAATCCACTATAAATGGTCATTTTCAATAGCTACGTTAAATTACCAGAGGGTAAATCAAAATATTTTCACTAACCTGAATCTTGCGGCCTCACATGGGGATGGATTCCCAATGATTCCAGGGTGAGAACAGGCTTCGATCGTGATGAAATTTACCCAGATGAATGGAGGATGTTCAATAACCCATAGGATCCATGTATGCTATATATGGTAACATTTACCATCAATATACCCCAGTCATGTTAGCATATATACCAGCACCATGGATCCGTCATGGGTAATTGCCAAGATTGATTACCGGAGGGTAAATATCCTAGGATCCCATCCCTTCCCATCCCTTCAGAAAAAAAAACTACCATTGAATGATGGTCCCAAATATATCCAAATATCATCCCCCACATCCGCTGTTCTGATTCTGAGGGCTGCGTTTAAAAAAGGAAAAGGGATCGGAATATCGATGAATAAACAACTATTCAATGACATTAACATGAGTTTCTATTATTGATAATGATTCACAGCCTATTAATATGCTCCATGGTGCTGGTATTTTCACCTACAAAACTGGGTGATTTTGGACAAGGGCAAATGTTGGTGTGCATATTCCATGGAGCATATGGGTACTACTGTAGTCCATATTATTCCATAATTAATCCATAATTACCCTCTGGTAATTTAACATAACTATGGAAAATCATTATTTTTACTAGGTAAATCAACTATAAATGGGCCATCTATACCATAGCTATGTTAAATTACCAGAGGGTAATCCATATTAATCCACATGAATCCATAGTTGACTGAGCCTCGTCTGAGGCTCACCGAATTCCGAGCGGCCAGTTGGCCATCGGAAATGCGATGCCAACGGGATCGTCACGTAGACGAACAAGAACCTTGTTAGGGGGTCAAGACACCATTTGAAGCATGGATAAGTAGGTGGCCAAGATAGCTAAGCATGTCAGGAAGCTCCAGGTGTTCAAGTGGATTGGTTTTCAACTGTGGTTCCAACATGTTCCAGGATAACTGGTTGGTGGTGCAATAACCCATCTTGAAAAATGATGGACTTCGTTAATGGGACGAATGACATCCCATATATGAAATGGGTTTGAAACCACCAACTTGGTTTATAAGTTAAGTTTAGCTAGGGCATACTAGGACTTATGGTAGCTATATTATGCTATATCTAGAAAATTGTCTATACTTAATGGGATTATCAACCAATTTATCACTGGGGCACCACCTTGCAAGGAACAAATAAAGAGTTCGGGATCATGTGTCAATTCTTTCGAAGAAACACTGAGATCTCAGTTGAGTTTGTCTGAAACTAGCCTGATTGCATTGTAATATCATCTATAATTACCTCGTCGACTGGTGTAGCATGGAAAACATCTTCTACATCACCATGTTCCAACACAGCTGTGTATCTCAATTTTTCAGCAATTCTCAGCACTGGACCGATGCAATTCGCTTGGGAAACTGGAAATGGTGATAATTGTCCAGATGTAAATCTTGTCCTGCGGCTGTCTTGATGTCTTGGGTCTGCTGCACAGGGCTCATTCGGGTCATTGGCTATTGCTGTTGTTTGCACGCCATGATCAACAAATGGTATATGAACATATTTTTTGTGGCTACCGTGTTACTACTGTCTGGTCGTCCCATGATTCGTTAAATGCATTGTAATTACCCTCTGGTTATGACATTCACAGTTCGCCATGGTTAAGCCATGGCCCATAGTTAAATAGATGGTTTACCATGGTTTACCTATGAATTCATAGCATGGTGGATCTTTAACCATGGCAAACTGTGAATGTCATAACCAGAGGCTTACCATCTTTTTACAGCTTATCATGATTTTCTGACCATCCTGAAAAAACCATCCCTAACTATCCCCAAAATACCGATGCCGAAGATCTCAGGCGCCTCTTTTTTAGACATCCAGGGTGTGTCTTAGGACGACCAGGTGATCTTCGGTGGCAATTTGCCAATTTTTGAGCCTTGAATTTTTAGCCTGCAACCTTCATGAGAGATTTCTTGTGGCACGCGCAACAAATCGCAACAATAAAGATGATGGACCACCTCCAAACTGACTTATATGTTGTGTTTTACCGATATACGTAGGAATTACCTACTACAAAATGCTTTTATATCGCTAGTCGTACAATAAATACATTCGTATTTTGTACAATATCTAAATGCCTATTGTGTTTGAATTACCTATTAGTTTTTTCAAATTTTCACAACCCATTTTTAACAATAGATAACCTATGGTTAAAAATGGATGGTGAAAATCCTCAAATCTATGGATTTTGGTTTTGGTGGGGAAATCTACACCGGAAACCAGAGTTATTTTCCCATGAAGATCATGGGGCTTAAACCAGTATTTTTTCATGGGAAAATCTATGAAACCAGGCAATTTTTTCCCAACTAAACCAATCCATTGATCATCCTGGGTGGCGACATGGGGCGCAAACTACTACCCTTTTCTCCATCGGATTGGCGCCTCGACGTGTCTTGTCCCAATTGAAGAGCCACGCTTCCTCAATCTGATCCTGATGTTTTTTTTTCGTGCCGCAGGACGCGGCAGAAAACAACGGGCGAAGTTTTTTTGAATGAAAACAATTCTCGACTGGTTGGTGGTATACCAACCCCTCTGAAAAATATGACTAAGTCAATGGGAAGGATTATCCATGATTATCCCATATATTATGGAAAATAAAAAATGTTCCAAACCACCAACCAGTCAAGATTTGTTTGAAAAAATTAAGTTGGTGAACTATTACAATGTCACTTAAGCGAAATGTCTTATATCCTGGCACCAAATAAAGAATTACTTACGCCATTGCTTACGCTTTGCTTACTCGCACACAGGTTTTGCTTACGCGGATATCTCGTCTTACGCTGAGCTTACGCTGGCTTACTCTCTTCAGAGTTTTGCTTACGCCACAGCCTTACAAGGGGGCCCTTCCTAAACATGAACGCAAGGGTTTAGAACGTGGCTCAATTGAATATGACTGAATAGGATTCAAGAGGAAATATAGAATGTCCTATGACTATAAATAGGAAGTTAATGGAAATTATGGGAAACTTTGATCCTGAATGGATCTCAGCAACGCCTGGCAAAAGTGCTCCTTAAATCTGCTGAAAGAAAGCATGGAAATGATGATGTTTGGATATGTTTGGTCTGTGAAATGGGATATACCCTCAGTTGTGGCCACTTTAACAAGCATATAGCAGCATATATCATCAAAATGATGATTGATGATTGATTGATGAATTAGGCATGAAATTTGGGGATTTTCATGGATTTTCCCAACAATCCAACTTCCACCTCAGGCAGGCCCAAGGTAGAACCAATGCGTTGGTGCACATTCACCATGACCTGGTCGAATGGGACTTGAGTCAGGTCCATTCTGATCCACCCTCTGGTTATGACATTCAACAGTTCGCCGTGGTTAAGCCATGGCCCATAGTTAAATCTATGGTTTACCATGGTTTACCTATGAATTCATAGCATGGTGGATCTTTAACCATGGCAAACTGTGAATGTCATAACATGTCATAACCAGAGGGTAACACTATTTCTCTCCTCCAAGTTTTCCCCGCTGGATACGACGACCCGTTCCCGTTCCCATCCCCGCTGAATTTGCGGCTCTCACCTGACTAGCAAAGACGCGTCGGTCACTTTGGAAGTCACAGCGGTCGCCTCCACAACTCATCAGTGGAGAAAAAAGGGACATCCTATGGCATGTTCATGTATTTTCATGCATTTTCTCATTTTCATGCTTACAAAAAAATAGACCAGGCTTTCGTACTATACATTACTAGATATCATATCAGAACGACTCAAAAATTGCAAACCCTATACCATTTTAGGCAATCGTACTTGTTTTGAAATTCGTACTGCTTCTGTTTTTACAGTCACTCAATCCAAGACCATGCAAATTACAAGGCACAATTCGGGCGCAATTGTGCGCAATTCGAGATGTTCGAGCGCAATTATGAGCAATTCGAGCGCAATTTCAAAGTAGTAGAATCGAATACAGGCCCGGGAATCGAAACGTCAACTGTTTCTTAGTTCGGCTACTTTTTCAGCAATCTTACTCGCATTTTCTAAAGCGCGTGTAATATTTATATATATAATTATATTGATTTTTTATGATTTTTTCAAAATGTGTTTACATGATCTACGGAGAGTTGTATAAGATGTAATAGATTGTTTCCTTTCTGTTTGTTACCAGTACAAGGTCTTCGACATCACTGGATTTCATAGATGTTCATATTAGATGTCCAAGTTTTCTGGTATCTAATATGAATATTACCCTCTGGTAAGTTAACATAGCTATTGAAAATGGCCCAGTCGAAATAGTGGATTTACCCATTAATAGCATGGTGGATCTTTCCATAGTTTTTTGTATGTTTACCAGAGGGTAATGCCATATTTTCATAGATGTTTCATAGATGTTCAATGTGGTACCCCCCCAGTTATGTTTGTTAGTTTATAACCCCCATCAACTAGTTCGATCTACCATAAGTCCCACTTATTGTGGTTATGTGCACCAACTGAACGCTATCTATGGGGCACCACTATGTTCTAATATGGCATCTTCTGAATCTTCGGACCTGCCTGCTTCGGGCACCGACTGGCAAAACGATGCGGGAAATCGCTGCATCTGCGCGCGCGGTCGACTGATCGGTCAGTACTGATCCCAGTTCTCTATGGAAGTGGCAGATGGTGCGGCTCGTGTCTCAGCTGGCTAAGCCTGTTTTCCATTGAAAATGGCCATTTATAGTGGATTTTCCCATTAAAAATTGTGATTTATAGATATTTATAGTGGATTTTCCCATTGAAAATACCTGTTTTACATTGTTTTACCATGTGTGATCGGGCTGCTTGTAGTGCTAAATTGGATGCTTTTGGAATGCAGCAACAATTTCTGCAAAATAATGATCACAGAATCAGAAGAAATCAGTAGAATAGTGAATAGTGCCCCACATCCAGCCTCCCTCTGTGCCACTATGTCCCCATCAGCTTCTTTCAGGTGGGGGGTGATCCTGCCCATGTACATTTTGCCCTGCTATCAATCCTCAACGGATGCTGGGCACCCACACACAGCGCGCATTTGCAGGGGAGCTACTGTCATTCGCGTTGCCTCAGTTTTTTTTTGGGCATCAGTACGTGGAACTGGTGTATAAATGTGCATAATATTGCATAATTAGTGTTCCCATCTTTTCCCTACTAGTCTACAAGTACACTCCGGCCACTAGCTCATAGTTCCAGCTTCTTCTCCACCGGGTCGACCGAGGTTCGAGCGAACAAAGTCTGGAATAAGCTCAACATCCTTGGTTCGAACATGGCGAAAAAAAAAAAACTAACCTGGAACCACAGTGGTTCAACATGTACATGTTCACTTCATTATCTGCTGGCTTCCTCATAGCTTGCGTGTACCAATCCGCAAGTTACACCCCTGAGTTCTATCAGGTCATCCAGCCACATCCGATCGTCACATCCGATCCATCCGATCTCCGCCGCCAAGATTCATAGTCACGAAGCAGTCGCTCTGCCTCGAAGGAAGACAAGAAATTGCGCCTGGCACGGTGTACTCCAGCGATGTAGGATGACCGAGTTTTTCACTTACATTGCTCCACTCAAAAAATCATTAAAAAAAGATCAGCTGGAATCTTTGGAAGTGGATTTTCACCCAGATTCTCAGATGTTCACCAAGGAATTACTGGATCTCCAAGAATTTCACAGCTTTTCCAATGCTTTTCCCATGCGTTTCAGTCGAAACGCGTCGGCCAGGCAGGAGAAAAATGGGTGGATCCTCCGCCAGCAACTCTGTGTCTTGCCTGGCCCAGCTGGCGATTGCCAGGAACCTCTATAAAATCATAGATCATATTGATTATTTAATATTTAACATTGATAATATGTGTATAATATATATATATATAGTATAACATATCTATAATATATCTATTTCATCTATCTATATATATATAGTATAATGTATATACATTATATATAATCTGCCTATGTATTATATTAATTGATATCATTAGATATATAAATATATACTATAATATATATATACATATATGTGATAAATTATATGATAGAATACATTATAGATAGAATAGTACAAATATACCTGTAATAACATCTACAACAGTGACACCTCAAAATTCGTGACAGGCGACCAGCTGGGGAATGGCAAGGCTTCACCATCTGCGCCAAAAAGCCTTCGATCGCATGGCACAATCCATGGCAGTACCATATGTTTTCATAACTTGGGACTATGATAATTATGGTACACCTAATTTTTGGTAATTATCATGGTAATCATCATGCTACACCTAATGGTAATAGGATGTAATAGGTAATTATCATGGCAGTACCATGATAATTTGGTACACCTAATTTTCACATATTTTCATGGGTACTGGTGCAAATTTTGGTGCAATTATTACGGTACACCTCTGGTGAAAATTTGAGATAATTCTGGACAATTCTGGTGAAAATTCTTGGGAAAATGATGTGTAATATGTGTCTGCTGAAAATTCTGGTGAAAATTTGGTGTACCAGGATAATTCATAGATAATTCCAGAAAACCAGTCCGGTACCATATCCATATCTACCATGTCATGCCTGGCATGCCCGAGAGTCCGATATCACAGGGACAGTGATGGTCAAGCAGTACAGTTGGTCATACATTCAACAATGACTGGGAATCCAAGCATAATTTTCTATAATGTCAACCCCGGATGAGACTAAACCATAGTTTTTTTTTTAGGGGGGTACTCCTCCAATAGTCATGTCATCCACTATATTTTTTTATGGTACCCCCCCAATTAAACAGCCGTTTGGGGCTTATTAATCCAGGGTTGACATTATAGAAATTTATATGAATGGATTGATAGCAATCCACCTTTTTTTGGATATACTATCCATCTTTTGACCATGGCAACATATAGCAACTCTCCACAACAGTGCTGAGATTATCCATCTCACCTCACTGCGTTGGCCAAACCCAACAGCAGCAGTGTGGCAGTCACCCGCTGGCAAGGCCTGTCGATGCAATATGGGTAACCAATCCATGTGCAAATCCTTGTCTCAGCCCGTTGCTTTGTACAAATGGCAGTGGGTCAAAACCTTGTACCCCTCTGGTGAACATCAAAATAGCTGGTAAATGGATGTTCATCCCACTAAAAATGGTAGGTATAGGTATTGATCCATAGCCAAATGTTGCCACAATTCAATGAAAACACGAATCTCACACAGGAGTCGACCAGTAGACCAGTGCATTTTCACTTCGGGTACTGCTTGACAGTCTCAGGAATATATGCAGTGCTGACAAATTGCGTCCGTACTGCAAACAAAAATTTCTTGATTTCAGCCCCACTCCCGAAAGAATGTCTCGGCAATCGACATCTTTTTGAATCAGAGTATTGGATAGAAAAAATAGGCGGCTGATCCAACTTTTCTTTATCTTCATGTGTAGTGCAGACGCATTAAAAAGACAAGCCTGATTTCTGGTTCAGTTTGGATGGCCCGGATGACATTGAAACAACAACCAGAAAGCAGAAATTGCACGGCACAGTGCAAGGTAATAATCATTCAGTGCAAAGTCACTTATATAGGATATAAACATATTATATTATATTATATCATATCATATTATATTATATAATATTATATATATATATGATATGATATTATATATATATATGATATGATATATATATATACATACGTATATAAACACATAGAAAAATATCTTTCAAAACACACACGCACCCACACACAAACACGCAAACAAACACACATCATCTTGGATCGCAGGTAATAGCCTCCCATAGCCTCCCGTTCCCCTGCCTCAGGAGCTGCATTCTGATCATGAGATTGATGTCATTTGTGCAATGGACAAATCATTTGCTTCAAATGGATGTACCATTCAGATCCAGGAGTTTCTGTCTGAGCATTCTGAGCAAAAAAAAAAAAACAAATTCCAATAGCGGTTCCGCCCAGAATCGTGCTGCCACATGCTCAGAGGTGGGTCAAAAACACCACGCAATTTGCTGCCTGTTCTTTCTAGACACCCTTTCAGCCACCGTGTGAGCCGTGCTCCCTGTCAGTGAGACACACAAGATCAGCAAGGAGGCGGAAGACGGACACCTGGGGTATACAAACAGATGTGGAAAAGCCATGCTTTCCCCAGGAAAAGATCCATCTTGGTGGTGGGTTTCCCCCCTTTATGTTTGTTTACAGACTTTTTCTGGTCTTCTTTCAACATGATAAAAAAAAAATCTGCTCTTGCTCAAAAAGGCCAGCTATCTGCCATGGCGAAAGTCACAGTCTTTCCACGTCTTTCCCAAGATTTTTTTCACATCGCCGGCTGGATCCGGCTAGATCACACTGATCACATCCCTGAGATTCAGCCAACCCCCTCCATCTTGGATGGCCAGGATGCGGCTGTAGAATCTGTAGAATTTTTAGCCAGGCTGCCACTGTAGAAAACATGAAAACATGAACTGGATGTGCAAAAAACGTGACAGGACGATGTAGAATGTATCAAACGACATGAACATCAAATGAATGTGCTGGAACAGGAATGTCTCTCCAGAGCTCAGTTTGCAGAGAGTTGCGACTGTTGGACTTTGGGAAACCTAGTTTAGGTGTAGTGTCAACCCCGGATAAGCAGCGTCCGCTGTTTCATTTGGGATAATTTGGGTATCATTTTAGCAGATTATCGTTATTGGGATGGATCCGGGGTTGAATTTGCACCTAGTCTTTGCACAGTGCATAGGCAAAGAGAGGGAGACAGACCTGCTGCTTCCAATGGAAAGTTCTTCGACGCAGGTTGGATCGTGTGTGCAGATTACCGCGTGAAATCATCGAAATTCCAATGTCAATCAGTTCTGCACAGTTTCTGCAATCAACCTAATTGAATTTTATGGGTTAACAGTTAACATGACATCTTGAACCGCTGGGCTACCGCTTCATTAGAGGCATCATCATTTTGGTGGACGTCCAACCGATGTGAACATGGATGGACTTGAACAAATTTTGCCGGAAAAAAAAAAAACAGTAGAATGTATTGAAAGTAGCAGTTATACCGAACATTTTACGCAGTTGCATTATAACATGCAACAACACAACATGACATCCAGGGTCGCAGCAGCTTGATCTTCTCTCTGCCGAAATTCACTCGAGCATTGGTGATGCTGCCCGTTGACCCCTGACCTCTGGGCGGACTTCGTTCCATGAAACCAAGTGTGTCAAAACCCTGGTACCTGGTGAACCCCAAAATAATCCAAAATAGCTGGGATTTATGGATGTGAATAACCCACAAAAAATGGTATGTATAGGTATTGATCCATAGCCAAATAATTTCTGGATAATTTCCATGATATTCAGTCGAATGAATTGAAATGGTACGCATCTTTTGGCGGAGCTGGGGATACCCCCCATTTAAAAATGCCCAATCGAAGATTCGACTGGCATCAGGGCTCTTGAATAGAAATTGGTCATCAACTAAAACACTAAACATCAAACATGGATGATAATTAAACTTAAGTCATTAAAATTATAAAACAAATTAAAATTATTAACAATTATTAACATATATTAACATCTTAAACACGGTTATCCATGGTTATCATCATCTAACCTCAT